GTCCAGCTGAAGTTGCTCGTAATTCAGTGTTTTGAGGTGTGCATGGGAATAAACATTTGTGGATTCTGCTCTTGCTGTTACCTTGATTTCTTTTTTTTTCTTTTTTTTTTTTTTTTTTTCTCTGTATTGGAAAGACTAGCTTAGAGAATGACCCACGTTACAGTCTCCGCTAGGGAAAATTTTTTCTGCATACACTAATGAAGAGTTTTCAGTAGTTATGAATTTTCTGAACTCCTAACCATAGAAACTTGCTTTGTGTTTGAGGGAGATTACTCTGCATGTGTGTCTGTGTTCTGTTTAAAAAAAACAAAACCAACCAACAAACAAAACCTAAAAACCCAAAACACAACAGCAACAACAAAAACTTTATTTTCCACTTTCTTCATTTGATAAAAATCTCTCCACTGTAGAATGATTTCCTTTGGGTTTGACACCACCATTTGATCTCAGTTTTTAATAATTTTGGTGGGTTTCACTCCCAGAAGAAAACATGCTTGTGTTGTGAAGTATTCCCACTAGAAATCTGGGAAGTCTTAAAACCTCATGTTACTCAGGGCTAAGAACTGGCTTCTTTATTAATTCCCTGCTATACAACTGCTGTACAGTAAATCTTTCCATAACACCATGCTGTTGAAATTAATCAAGCTGATGTTTGGAAATTGTTCAAATTAGATTAAATTAAATAACACCTAGACAGGGCTCAAAACTTGTGCTGATGGAAACAGATTTTAATCTAAAAAGACACAAATTTTATTGGTGCCTCTTCTTATTGGTTCATCTTCATATTATACTTATTAGGACATGCAAGCGCTGCTCCCTGTTTAATGGCTGGAGAGGTGTGTGGCTGAAATAGTTTAATGTCCTCCTCAGCTTTCTGTGTCCTTTTCTTTTTTGCTTGAAGTGCCAAGCCTATGATGGTTATGCAAGAGTGGACAATGCATAGAAGTTCCGTGCTGATAGTATCACGTTTATTACTTGCTTTAAAGAACGCACTGGACAAAGCATCATTTGCAAATGAACAAAAGAAATAGTGCAGGATTTATTAATATCTGCTCTGTCTTGTCCTTCTATTTGGTCATTAGAAATTTACAGGTTTTACTTGCAAATCTTACAATTCTAAAGTTTTCACTTCTAGAGTTTTCACTCTAGAGTCTAGAGTTTTCACTTCCTGAATGAAATACCCGTTTCTCTTTCCTTCATTTTTAAGAGTGGGTTGCTCCCTGGTGAAATAAAACTATAGACTGAAATGGGCAAGGAGGAGAAAATGTGCATTTGAACACGGGTCTCTGATGCAAATTTAATTTCTTCTTAATTTCCCTGCCCCTTAGAAGAGTCTTCGCAAAAAATGCAACTATGTTTACGAAGTCTTCTCTGTACATTGCAGCTTATCTGTGAAAGCAACAGTGGAGCTTAAATCCCATCTCTGATTTGTTTTAAAAATATATGTTATACAAAGGTAACAGCTACTGATAACCATTCTGTTCTTCTGGGTAATAGTGGGAACAGTTTTTACCTGTTCTCTTCCATGGATTAGAAGGAATTCTTGCTGTGTATGGATGTCCTTACAAAAGCCTTTATGTAGATCTTGTTTTATGCTCCCCTAGCATTTCATGCAGATGCTATCTATATGGGGTCAGAGTTCTGTGAGAAGCACGAAATTGCTGCTTGTAAGTCAGTTAAGTGAATTAACATCAAGGAGAAAAAGTCTTTTGTATAATTTGTGATAGCTCTTAATGTTTTGTGTGCGTTCCAGCATTGTGTTCATCCTTTAAGAAAACAACCTGTTTCCTTTTTAGCCCTCAGATTACCCCTTGTTTTCTCCGTGTGTGAAAATCAGTGCTGTATGTCATCTACCATCAGCTGTACAGCATCATTCACTGCACCATCTCTCTAAAGGTGGGAGAGCGAATGCATGGAAGTTCAGTGCAGAAGGGACCTAAGTCTTTTTTGTGCGTATGCATGGGAGAGGGAGGATGACAGTAGTACTAGCTGATGAGGCATTAGGGAAAGAGCTGAAGAGTTTCAGGATTTATGAGTAAGGCTGGCTTGCATTGCTGTAGCACTGCGTGCGAGACTTCGTTACGGATGCTTGGTCTCCTGCTCTCTGAGTAGCGCTGTAAGTTCTTCAGCTGGAATGACAATAAGCAGTGACTAACTTGCATTGCTTTTCTGTAAGGGCCCTGTAGTGAGCTGGAGGTGTAATATATGCATCTAGGGGCAAGACATGGTGTATATCTGTGGGTAAAGAGCATGCTGACTTTTGGCTGCAGATACTTTTTCTTCTGATTCCAATGTACTGGAAGTATGTTAATTTATCTTCAGATAACATCAGGAAAAAAGTTTGAGGCAGTAAATCCATTGGAGACATTATAGCTTAACTCTCCAATGTGAAATAGAGGGCAAAGCAGATGGAACTTCCTTGGAGTGAGATTTACTTGGAAATAAGTTGGATTACTGTTGTTTTTTAGTAAAATAGGATTGGTATTAAGATTCCAGATGCTATAGCAAGAGGCATGAGGCTGGGCTAGCAATGGCAGATGTGGTAACCTGCCCTTTGCTCTCTGTTTTGTAGGTACTAATAGCTGCTTATCGTCAGTTACCTGGGTCACTGAGTTCAGAGATGTTTTTGCAAAAGCTGTTTCTGTAGCAGGGTCCCTGCAAGCATGGGCAGCAGGAAGGGGCAGGAAAGTCATCATGGGCAAGAGTCCTGTGGGTCCTTTTTGCCATCCATAAAGTGATGTCATGTACGACATCAGTTCTAGCATTTGAGATCCTGTTTGTACTGAGACGGTAAACGAGTGTGGAGAATAGGTGCAACTTCTGTGCTGAAAAGGTGGAAAGACTGTTGTGTGACAAGGAAAGCATCCAGCAGGAGGATAAAACATGCTGTGGCATCCCTCTCATCAGTTTGCATTCACCTGCTTTTTCTGTCTTGCCAAAATGCAAGTTACACAACTGATACCACAGCCTCGGCATTTGGCCAAGTATCTTAATCTTTTGTTAAGACATTAATAGACATTAATAGCCCCATCAAAAGTGCTGTGATGGACTGTATGTTCGACAGGAGGGGAGGTTTGTTGCTTACAGAGGTTAAATTTCTTTTTAACTAGTTAAATGATTTATGGACAAATTGAATCCAATTTTTAACCTTTGATAGGAATAGAAATTTTGTCATTAATTTCAGAGGAACAGGATCAACTTTGCACTGCCTTTTCAGGAAAGCACCTAGAGATTTTTTTTTTTAACACTGCATGTTAGAATTTGGCTGTTTGAACTTGCAAAATGCATCAGTTTAACCCAGAATCAAGCAGTGAAGAGGGAGCAGCATCAATGTGATGCCGTAACCTACTTACACAGTACTTCAGGTTGTGTTTTAAAACAAAGAACTAAAACACATCAACTGGATATTGTGGCTTGTAGCTGCCGCTGCTGGCCTGCAGTTAGAATGTCAGGCTGGGAGCTGCTCCATGCCAGATAAGTTACTAAGTGAGAATTGTGTATCTAAAATATATTTTAAAGTAAATCTAGTCTCTGCAAATTCAAGACAAGGAGGATTTAAGTCCTTAAGCAGTTGTTACTGGTATGACTGTATCTATTTCAGGGCAGGGTGACTCCTCTAAAGGGGTGTGTAACTATTGGTTTGTAGATACTGAAGCTACTGATAGTAGAAGATCTTGAAGCTATTTAACTGACTTTGTACAGAAGGAGAACAGAAATGTGGCTTTCTCCTCTTTTTCCCTTAAAGAAGTGCCTGGTCCAGGAATACAGTGATTTGTGTCTGGCCTTTCATAAATATACTCAGTTATTTTTCATAGTTGTTATCTACTGGAAATGCTTATATTGCATTCTGAAGAACAGGAGTTAGAGGTGAACATTCTGGCAGTATTACGAGCCTTAGATAGCACATTTAAAGAACTGCTTTAGGCTGAGATTTGTCTCTGCCCCAGCATTTCCTAGTTTATCTAGGGGCTAACAAATTGTACGTAACCAATTAATAAGTTTCTGTGACTGGAGGCAGTGGTTTTTCCTTTGCCACCCCCGACTACAGCCTGGCCTGTAGCAGGCGATGGAAATGACCGTGCAGTTCTGTAGGTTTTCCATCTGTTCCATCTTCCCTCTGTGCATGCGCTTCGAGTACTGTAGGGCTGTCTCCTGCAAATTGGCTTCTTTCTCTACTGTCTGTAGTATTGAATCCCTTTAAGTTCACGCCCCACAATTTATTGCCATAGATTACTTGATCCTGTAACCACAAAAGTAAATTTACAATAAAGCAGAACAAAATTGAATCCAGACCACCCCCTGAGTTTCCCACTTCTGTGGTTCCTCCTCATCCTTGATCCTCTTTCGAAGAGAGCTGTTCTCACTCTGTTCATACATGCAGCGGGAGAACAGCCACTGGCCTCTCCAGGTCTGCGCGACCATCAGCTGCCAACACAAGGTTATCGTTTTCAGCAAAATCAATGCAAGGGTATTTTCCTTGCACAGTAAGAAGACTGGCCATGGTCTGAAAATGTGCAAATAAGCCTATCCCAGCCAAGAACTGCGTATGGGACTAGCCTCTGCTGATTGCTCCATACGTTCACTGTGTGGAGAGAAGCAGAAGCAGCATTTGTATGTCAGGTTTTCGTATGGCTGAATGTGAAGAAGCTCTGACCTGAAAGAATAGGGACATTCATAGAACTGTAGAAAACTTCTGCAATGTTGAAAAGGTCTTATTAGGAAATCTTGTTCATCCTCATGCTGACTGTGATTCTGTTCCTGAATTGTATTCTCTGGAGCTTTTAGTGTGGTTTTTAAATGAGTCAAGTGATGAGACTTCAGTATTTCCCTTGGAAAGAAAACAAAAGCTATCCCACAGGGAAGAAAGGCAGATTTCCACTTAAGATGAGCCTTCTAGGAGGTGTTTTAATTTACAGCTTTAATCAGAGATGTATGACACACTTCTTGTTCCTCTGTTATTGATGCTTTGTTGTTTTGGTTCTTTTTTTTCATCTAGGTTTGATGATTCCAGTCTTTTGTGTGGTGGAACAGTCGGACGCCTCTCTTGAATACGATAATCGAGAAGAGCATGCTGAGTTCGTTCTGGTTCGCAAAGATGTGCTCTTTAGCCAGCTGGTGGAGACAGCGCTCCTGGCTCTGGGGTATTCCCACAGTTCTGCAGCTCAGGCACAAGGTATTCAATAAAGTTCTTTTCCCCCTTCTCTTTACTGGCAGAAGACAGCACCTGAGGTTGTCTGATGTAAGGGAAAAGCAAGAAAATCGCTGGCAAATCTTGGAGGTGGTTATATCAGTTGTGTTGATTGCTTAATGTTAAACTAGGTGTACAACAGGGCCTGCCTTGTTAGCCTGCCTAGAAAGCATTAGCTGGATCTTGCTGAAGTGTGAAATATGGTGATAATGATCAGCCAGCATATTCATGACACATTTGTTCTGTACCATGAAGCGGGTTGCTGCTTTGAGGAAGTCAGCACAGAAGAGCTGGATAGAACCTCTAGGTGTACAGCTAGATGGTATCTAGTATTCCTCTTTGTATCAGGGCCATTTTGAACAGCATATTATAGTCTTTCATTTTTAAAATCATACATTGCGTATAATGGTTATATATATATACATGCTCTCCTTATGGCCAATAGTTGTAGTGCTAAACGTGCAGGCTGATTTCTGTTTTCACTTACCTACTATATTGCTGCAAAGCCCTTTGTAAAGCTCTACAGTCCCTTCCACTTAGAGATGATTCTCCAGTAGCAGCAAAATCTTAAAATAAACAAAGCTTTCCTCTATCCACCCATAATATCAGCTTGAGAAGAACAAACCTAAAATCCTAATCTTGAGGGAGATGGGCAGGAGGTGGCAGGTTGGGAAAAATCTTTCCAGAATGAACTTTGCATTTCAAGAGGCTTTTTTATACTGAACAGGTTATTTCAGTGCTTATTCTTTTGGATGAGAAGCCTGTAAGCTTCAGTTTCGTCTCCATGTCACCAATAAAATCTGTGCACTTTTAGAGTAGTTTAATAGAAGCTTTGCTTGGGGATTTGCGTTTTATAACTGTTGGGTTTAGTTATTTTGTATAGCTAGGTATTTGAACGTGTGAACAGAGGGAGCAGCAGTGGTGTTGAATCCAGGAGTTCCAGGCAGTGGTTAATAGCACAGGCTCCTTGTACAAACTTCTTTCCAAGCAGAGTGATAATGATTCATTTCCTCTGTCAGCCTCTGCTCTGTGAGAGAGGCTCAGATTCTTTATACAGGCAGAGCTCATGCACATGTGTTTATTTACACAATATGGTAATAAAAGCTCTGCGAGAAGGTAGTTGTTTTGTTTTTTAATATGAAACATTTCATGTCATTTTAGGGACACTTTTTTTCTGAATGTAAAAGGTCAATGTATCCCACTGTTTCCATCCTGGTAAGCCAGCTTCCTGTTTGACAGCGCTATCCATCTCAGTTAACACAGTTGCTCAACGTGTTGCGAGCTAACATGTGGAACACGCTGCGTTAGGTGGCCAAGATATGATTCTTGGCACTTACGAAGGGAAGTGGGCTTTGCAAGAAACCTGCTCCAAGGAGGCATGCCATTCAGTGCAGTGATCCACACTGGCTGAGCATCTCACTTGGGGGAACCTTGCTTTTGCAGCATCTCTCTGATGTGAGAATAGCAAGGAGGGAGACAGATTGACTCACGAAGGAAATTAGTCACTGTGCAGGGAGGAAATGGCCACCACATTTTTGAACTACACGCTTTGACAATGAGCAGGTTCAGATACTAATTTGTTGCTTGATGTGTTGCTCGAATAACTCATCTAGAAATTAAAAGTTGAATCTCTAGTTGTTGTAATTAGCCTAAAAGAAAAGACTTCGGCATTTTTGTCTTTAAGGCAGCAATTACCTTCCACTAGAAAACATCAGATTATATAATATTTAGGAACAACAAAAAAATACCTTAAAGATCCATCAGGTAACAATTATCTTACTTGGTCACTTTATTTACCTTCACACTGAAGGACCAGTTCTCCAGTCTTTTATACATCCTGGACAAATACTGCAGGTCATACTGATTTTAAGATAGGAAGCTGAAGTATGCAGCATGTTCTGTAGTATGTTGCTTCTGTACTAGCTGTCTGCAAGCTGAGATGAGGTACTGGCAGGACAGAGTGCTAATAGATCTCTCAGATTGTTTAGTTTAATGAGAAAATTTATAGAATATTGGGCTATAATCTGTCAACTGGGGTTGACAGAAGCTTGCTGCTAAATTGTTGATAGAAGGATTTATTTGGGAGCACAATTTTCTGTTATTAAAAGAGGAAAACCAATAAAGCTATTTGCTTTACTTATTCCGGTTGTAGGAAAAGTCTGCTTCTGTTCTAGTGCTTGGGATTGATTTCATTTAGCAATAGACATTGATAAACAGTCACTTAGTTCTTCTTTATGCTTTATGATCAGCTGAATTACAAGATCTGCATGAGAAGTTGAAGATCCTCAGGTGCATTTTTCAAAATGGTAAAGCTTTGAGCAACATGCTGTGCAGAACACTGACATGAGTAGGTGTCCCCATGTCCTCCAGGGACAAAGCAAATGTGAGCTCGTCAAAGCTTTTGTATTGTAAAGGCTGTCTGAGCCATAATATAGCATGTAGTAATTGTCAGCTTTTGAGTTGGGAAAGTGTTTCATTTCGCCCCCCTCTTGTTTTGGATCACTGAAAGGAGTAGCAATGTTCCCTTCATCTTGTGGGAAGCATCTTGCCTTTGCCTGTTCCTTTTAGCACAGGGTCTCCAGTGGCAGATAAAAGAGCTAGTTGTGGGGGAAAAGAAGAGTTGTGGCAGCAGAGAGCATTGCTATGCGATTTCACACCGCCTTCGCTGCGGCTCGCCGTGGCACTTCTACAAACCTGCTGAGGCTCGAGCAGGCTGTGTGCGCCTTGTGTGTAGGGCCCTGCCTCACACTTGCCAGCTGTATGGCAGCATGGCAGAGTCTGGGTGCCAGAAAGGAAACGTGGCACGGAGGGGTAGGTGGTGCGTTGCCTCCCTGAGGGGTCTGTGCGCCCAAAAAGGGGCCCTGCCGCAGGGCTGCCTGCCTGGGCAGCAGCCTAGAGCTGCAGAGCTCCCCGAGGAGGTGACGCTGCATCCGAGCATATGAGCTGTAGCTCGCGTGCACAGCTGCCGTCTGGCCTGGAGCCTCACCTACTGGCTTGTGGTCACTTGGTCACTTGGCTTATCACGGCTAATTTTTAGTCCTGGTCATTAGGTAAATTGAGAAGCCTTAGCATAAATAATCTTGAAACAAATATGTGTCAGGAGGTATACATGAAAGTGGCCCTGTGCCTCATTGGAAGAAGCTCTTTATTCCCACAGTTTGGGCAGGACGCATTTATTCCACAAACAGCTGGTTGTGAACATTTTTTGTCGATGGTGGCGAGAGCAGAGACTTTTCCAGCGAGTACTGCCCTTGTGAAACTTCCCTTTTCTGACAGGAGCTGTGAAAAGTCTTCTGGAACAGCATGGGAATTCGTTAACAGCTTGGCACTGGGGTGTGAAAGTTGGTGGTGTGAATGGCAACAAAGGTTTAATAAACATTTATGTATTTTTCTTTCATCACTTGAGTTTACACCTGACACTAGGGAACCTGCTTCATGTGCCTTCCAGAGAGGCAAAGAGCCATGCTTTAAAGGGGCACCTGTTCTATGTGTACTTTAATAACATTTACATGCCCTGATACGATTTTTTTGTTTGGGTGGGTGGGTGGGTGGGTGGGGTGTTCTAACTGGGCTTTGCAAGAGAAGGGAACTGCTATATACATACAGTACACAATGCTGAGTGCTGGGACCAAAGTAGTATGAAAGTAGCTGCAGTCTGGAGTACCCTGTGTGCAGTCCTGCAGCTTTGGGACCTGCTGTGAAAGCTGGTTCCCTCCTCAGTGTGGGGTAGAGGAAGAGCAGTGCTAGTTTGATGCTTTTAGCAAGTTCTACTTTCTTAGAATCCATATGGAAAAGAAAATAGTGTGATTTCTTGCGGATATATGTATATATGTTTTTTTTCTTTTGACCAGTTCCTTGTTAGCTGTTGTGAGTGTATATGCAGAACTGGTGTACGTTGTCTGCAAAAGCTTGCAAAGCTGAATGGGCCATTGAAATGGAGTTTGCCTTCCCCTCCCAGGTGCTTCTGCTAGGTGTGTTGGCAGGGCAGTGTGGAGTACCTGCCCTGACTGCTGTCTGTGGGCTTGGGTTAGTTGCTGTGGGTGGCCACCACAAGGAAAGGGGTGTACAGAAGAGAGAAATGGCGCTGAGATGCCAAATGGAGCAGAAGGAGAGGTGAGAAAACAGTGGAGGGAAGTTAACACAGAGCAAGAGAAACATTAGATCTTTCCCATCCCTGTCACTGTAGAGATTGCCAAACCCTGGTTCTTAAGCAATGTATTGCCATGAGCACAGCTGCTGCGAGAGGCAGTGCCTTGTATTAATGCCTCGGAGGCCCCTCTTCATACAGTCTGGTTTCTTCTAGTGGTGCTGAGTGAAGAGTGGGAAACCTTGTGGCTGCAAATTGCTTGGGGTGGCTGGCCAGAGTGGAAGGCTGGAAGGAGACACTGGCAGTGGTCAGTGGGGAAGCAGTAGGACAAGAAGGAGAAACAGAAAAGGTTTAAGTATCTTGCCTTGCTATGTGGAGTTGCAGTAGCTGGGCATGGAGGAGAGTGATGCTCTGTGGGGATCGTGATTTAGTGATCTGAGGTCAGACAGCATCGGCCCTGTCAGCCTTGCATGACTGGAGTGGGGAAGACGAGAATTTTGCTGCTGCCAGGCAGTGCCTGGCCAGAGTAGCTGATGGGGTACCTCTGCCCTAACGTCATGACACCCAGAGGTGTATCTCAGAACCAAGTGTCCTTCTCCAGCTGCCTTGCCTGCGAGGCTCTGATGTTGCTTGCAGCCACGGGAAGTTGTGAGACAGACTTGGCTTGACTTTGGTGCTTCTGCAGAGCACTGCGCTCTGGAGCACTAGTGGAGCTGTCCTTGCAGCGAGCTGCAGCAAGAGAGAAAGGTGGCTCTCCCGACTGCATAGCAAGGAAACCAAGGCACAGACATATACGTAAGGGCTCTCCCCTGGATCCACAGCACACGTGGCTGGGGCAGGAAGGAACCCAGACTGCAAGTGTGTTCATTTCCCTCAAGGGTCTAAATACGTGAGCTCA